TCATAGATAACACTGGTACACTAACAACAATAGTCGCAAAGTCATTAGTTGAAAAAATATTATCGATGACAGCTGAACAAGTATATGAAACAGTCATTGTCCAAATACACATATTCATAACAATGAAATGAAAAAATCTCATCTTCTTTACTCTCTAGTCTCTACTTACATTATGAAAAAAAAAACCACATCATATAACATTCTAATAAGATTGCACTCTTTTATCTTTATTCTCAGAATGAATCGTTGTCTCTTTTTCATATCAATCGTTAGTTTCTAGATAAGCTTTTCAGGGTTCAACTACAAAAGCCGCTACTTGAAATTTCCGATAAAAAAATTGGCACACTGGTTATCTCATCCTATGTTGAAAAAGGACCTCTAACATTTGCTCTTCCTAGCGAAGGAACTAAGAAGCAAAGCCCGGGACTACTCACTCCGATGAAACAACAGTAATAAGCACTCCGCATTTTAAAATAATATATTCATCTAACTTATTTATTTCTTTACAATATACAATTTCTCCATGTAGGTAACAAGAAAAGAAAACTTGAGCGCATCGAAGCTCAATCCCGTGACTTATAGCGGAATTTTGATTATCTTCACGTGACTTAATTAGCATATATAGCTGGATTTTTGATTGCCTATACTATCGCTATAAAATTAGCTGCCTCAACAAAGTTTCTCCTTTTGGGCACATATTAACAACCTACATCAACCACATCTAACTATTTATAGTTTTTGTGTAGCCACTATTTTGCCTGCTCAAAATGTTTGTTCCAACTAAGTATAGTAAAATCTCTATAAATTAATACTCGATAAATTAATAATCTCTCTAAAGTAATATTTTTCTCCGGTCTCAACTTGGGCCAATGGAAAAAATCATCAATTTTGATAAGATAATATATTTCCAGAAGACCCCTATATAAACATATGGTCCCATTAATATCATAAATTAATAATTCTTTAAAAGTACAAATATATCTAAGACAATTTAGTGAAATATGATTCTATTGTGTTCTATATTTTCTTAAAGTTTAAATCTAGTTGAAGTTCATCTCTAACTTTTCTTATTGCATCCAAGAGCTCTGGTGCTGTCTTTTCGAACTGCACCATAAAATTGTGAGGAGTTCTAGATGTGATAAATGCTTTCTTATGGGTAACTGGTTCCAAAGGTATAGTATCATCTTTAACTTCATGATCAACATTGTTTTATCCTATGGTATCCACAATTTCTTCTAAGCTCTGGACCTTTGAACATGTATCACTTTCACCCGAATAAATCCAACAGGTTATTGATATCCATTTTATTGTGGTAATTGAGATCATTAATCATGACCTCAAGTTCATGAATGACATTAAACAAGTGGGTTCATTCAAATTCTCTGAGATTGCATCCCCCGACGAAGTTTACAGTGTCGAAAACAATTTTCTATTGTCTCTTGCTGAACATTTGTTGTCCAAGCAAGGATTGCAAAATTGATAGCATCCAAAACATTAATCTTTGCTGGATCAGTTTGTCCTACTTCATAGCCTTCTAATATCCTACGATAAAATCGGTTACAATAATACATCTTGAAAGTTCTTATTATCCCAGCATCACAAGGTTGAATTTTGGATGCCATGTTGGGTGGCAAGAAAAACAATTCAACATTTTGTAGTCCTTCAATATTTCTATTATGGGTTGGACAATTATCTACTATAAGCAAAACTCGTCTACCATGCATTTTGTGGTCAAACCAACAAATATATTCATCAAAAAGCACACTTGTCATCCATGTTCTTTTGTTTGCACGTAGTGACAATTCAATAAATATGATACATAAATTGGTATGATACAATGATTTTGATGTATTTGTTGTACTTTATATATAATATTTTTTTTAATGTGAAATCAATAAATATAATACATAAATTAGTAAGATACAATGATTTTGATATAATCAAAATTAACCTTCATTAAATCTCAAACCATTCTTTAAATTAATAAATATTAATTTATCGATTAAATAATATCTTTATAAAATAATAAAATTTTATGGTCTCACCTATATTAATTTATAGAGATTTTACTGTAAGTATACATATGTTTGTGTTCATACACTCTTAGCTTGCTTTATTTTAAGTTTCCCTTGAACCCGTGCAGACACGAAATTTTATATCTAGTTATATATGTAGATGTAATAGTTCTTCCTTGGAATAAATTGAAAGATGGTAAAACAATAAATTATGAAAACGTGAGCGATCATAAATTAGTGATAGGTTAGTTGACGTTTAGTGGGTTAATAATATGATAGAATGATTACGGGTGTGTTTGGTACGAAGGAAATGTTTTCCTCAAAAACAAGTTGATTTTTGACTTATTTTCTCATGTTTGGTTGGTGAGTAGAAAATATTTTTCGGAAAAGATTTTTAGTGTTTGATTTATGAATGAAAAATATTTTTGAGAAATATCTTTTATTTTTACTAGAGTAGAAAATAAAATTTTGAAATTGAATATTTTTTAAAAACAAACTTAAATTTTTTTTTGGAGGGTGAGGGGTGGTAGGGGGTGAGTGAGGGGGGGTCGAGGGTAGGGGTGAAAAATTGAAATTTTGAAGTTGAAAATATTTTTGAAAAACAAACTTAAATTTTTTTTTTTATTTT